AAAGAACATTATTTAACACATTAGAGAACTTTGTCATTAAAAAAAATAGTCTCCATAATTCAAACTAACATACAAGTACTAATTAGTTACTATATTTATAGTGGTATAAGACTTATAACCTAAGAACATCGACAAACTTACACCCTTTGACATAATTTCTTTTGACCTATGGCTAAAATCGAATATACTAATTCATACTCGCTCACCATGATTTTTCCCACATTGACTAATCACTCCCTTTCTATATGAGAATTTAATCAAAGAGCAAACCCTTGGGAGACGAGAAGTGCCAATGTCATCGAGAAACTATATTCATAGAGGTGCAAATGAATTGATAATCAAATTTATTCCAAAACTCATTTGTCCAATCAGCTCAGTTCAATAAATGTGAACAGGTCTCTAGTTCACAAGGATTTAAGTGTTGAACAAATTATTATTATTACTGATTATAATTGAATCTTATTTTACTAATTTTAACTAATTACAACATGATTCTTCCTATCCATTTCTGAATGATCTACCCATTTTCAATTTTAATCCCTTATATATCCTCTTTATTTTCCCATATTACCCTCATTTTTTAAATATGTTTAGCCTGTTAATATAGTTGTGAGCTAGAACTTAGGAATGAATACAAGAATATATGTGAGTTAGTCTCAACCAAGCCTTTTCAAACAAAATTTTTAAAAGCTCGTTTAAGTCTTAGATGGAATGAACCCTAATAATTCCTATCAAACTTAAGACGAATAAGATAAAACTCAACTCGACTTGGCTTGTGGGCACTCGGCTATAACATTTACAACATTTACATATGCACATCCATATCAATTGTGACATGTTTTTGTCACTGCATATATAACACATTCCAAGTGCCCACTAGACAGTGAGATGATGAATCAATCCTTAAGAAAGTCTAGCCACCGACTCACATAAACATATACAGGGGAAGTTTAGTTTTATCTTCCTCTTTATTATTATGCCCAAAATCACATCCACAATGTTGCTTATCTGATTAGAAATTTATGCTGTGGGACCTTTTATATGACCTACACTCCCTTTCTAGTAATCAATGCCAACGATAATTAGGGTACTGCTGTCCTTTTTATTATATATACATTTGTATCTTACTAGTTTCAGACTATTTGTGCATTTACTTAAACTTTAGACAATGATTTTCAATGACTATACAACACATATGGGAATAGAATTCATTCACACAATCACAACCCATAACACATTATTAGTATTGAGACCTATACCCAACAACAAAGAATAATTTGCCCGAGTAAAGTACTAGAGACAACCCAATATCGATTAGTTACAATTTTAATAAGAAGCCACTAAGATGCATGGGGTGTTGGCCAACCCCTCATAACCTCATTAGAAACAAAAAACTATAATAAAGTCATTTTCTCTCTTAAATATACTTGTAATTTATAGTCTCTGCTTGTCAAAAAAAAAAATTATAGTCTCTGCCACTAATTAATGTATTCTAAATCTAATAGGACAATCTTGCTGGAAAAAGGTATTAGTGCAAGTCTTACATAAATATTGCTTATACTAACAAAAAAATGTCCGGAAATTTTGCCACTTTTTCAAATTTAGTAAAATTTTCCATCCAATGAGGATTTTCTAATGTTCTTTTTTTACATTGTCATCTTTAAATAAAAGTTTACGCGTTTATTTTTCTAATTTAGTAAGAGTTTATAAAATGACTTTCTCAACTTATCCTAAATACAACAATCATAAAGGAAATATACTCCCTCCGTCCCTTAATACAATGTCTCTTTCTCTTTATTATGTGAGCAATAAATGCTCAAAAGAGGCATTGTATTAAGGGACGTAGGGAGTATTAAAATTGTCTTTTTTTACGAGGGGATAGTAAAATTGTGTCTAGTCTTTAATTACAAGATGTATGAGAAATGTAATTATTAATTCTAATGGAGTGAGTTCAATGTAATAATGAGATTAAGACAACTTTTACAAACATTGTAACATGTATACCGTAGATAATTGTAGGTGGATACAAGTCACTCTTAGTGATGTATTATGTATAGGATAATAGTCGGTACCCATCAATTAATTACAAGTTGGGCTTTAGATTCACACAATTCTGAGTAAACTTTAGTGAATGAAAAATTTGTTTGGTATTCAAAAAGGACCTGTCTTAGAAGGCTCACTCCAAAAAAAATTTGACAATTGATGTATAAAGATGGATACCACTATTGGAAATGTACAAAATAATATTCAACGCAATATGAAGTAACTTGGGTCTTGGACGATGTATACATTTCTAGGTAGACTTGGGTGCATAATAGAAATGTTCGAGTTTTCACAAGGGAGCTCTCCGGCTCTCCAAGAGAAATTCACTCAAAACAAAAATGACAACTGATGTTAACCCGAAAATGAAAGAGGATGAAATAGGAACAGCAAGGCAGACAATACGTGACAACCACCATGAGGCTGCACAGTAATAAACAAAGCTGGGGACTTGAAAGGGTCACAACTAATTCTTATGATTTATGATTTATAAGGCCTTAACTAATATACCTGTTTCATAGATTAAATAGCTTGGAAAATCATAGAATTACATTGACAATAACATGGAAAAGTGGACTAATATTATATGTAATATCAGCCTTTATATATATATTCAACCAATAAAAAACCTACTTTGACCTTTTTAATGCTTAACCTATAATTAGCATATGATCTATTAAGCTTATCACGTCTATCATAAGCCAGCTCAGTACGTGATTTGTTTAATCATTCACAATCTGATTATTGAAATTTTCTTGCTTGCAAGAAAATACAATTTCTTCCATTTTTACAAAAATTTTGCCCAAAATTTGGTAAAAAATACAGAACAAGGAAGCTTACCACATTCACCTGAATCTCTGAAAGAAAAAAAATAAACCTGAAATTTAAAAGTCAGAAGGCTTACTGTAAGGCGTTCAGATTGTTGCATGGACGACAGCGCCTTCTCGTTAAGCAATGGGAAGTGAATTGTTAAGGTCGTCATCTGGCAGGTCTCAGAAATGGCTCAGGAAGAAAGCCAAGAAATCCGAGCCGTCTAGCCCTGCTGAAGTTTCAGGTGTGAAACTGCAACTTTCCCTCTCTTACCCCCCCTTTCTCCATTGAAAAGAAGTTTATCTTCTGCATTTGTTCAAAGCTGTTTTCATGTTGTTACTTTGATTGTAATCATCTTCAGACTGTCTGCTTCTGCATAATCTGTTATTGATAATGCTGAGTTTCTTACAGATAGTGAACCTGAGGAATACCAGAGCCATAGTTTTGTCACATCTAGAGATATCAAATCGTCAGGATTAACCCATGAGCTAAGGTAATTCATTCAGGCCATTTCGTTTCATTGACCATCTATAAGAGCACCATTATTGGTGAACAAAAAAAAATGGTTCATGGGTCACTATCACCATTTCTCTCTCATCCACATCAACCCAACAAACCATTTACAATATTCACTCTTAACAATAAACACTAAACAATGGTTCATCATCAATACTCCCTACCCCACCTTATTTTATTTTTGTAAATATAATCTTTTTGTTTCATAATTATAATTTATTAACCGATGTCAATGTAATTAATTGACGTATTTAATATTTTAATCGTGATTACTAATTAAGAAATTATCGCGTTTTTTAATCAGCTTTTTAAAAAATTAATTCTTGTGATTAATATTTTTTAAACAACAACGCAGCTAATTTTAATTAACATAAAAAAAAGGAGGTACAAATCGTGATTACAGTTCTACAACTATAATCTAGTACATTTTATTTAAAAAAAAAAACACAACTACACATCGTTTTGTAAGATGTCCTTAGAGATAACCATTTGTTGTAAACCTAGTTGCCTAAGTTTTCGTTGTTACCAAATTTATTCCATATATGTTCGACCAAGTCGTTTTTTAGCTGCAAATGAGTCTGTTGATCCTCAATCTCTGTTCTACGAGACAAGTTTTTTTGCTTTCTATTTGTTTTGGGGTTGGTATTAGCATCCATAATTATAATTTATATTTGGAAAAAATAAAAATTTAATAATAATAATAACAATAATAATAATAGAAATAATAATAATAACGATAATAATAACGATAATAATAATAATAATAATAATAATAATAATAATAACAACGATGATAATAATAATAATAATAACGATAATAATAATAATAATAATAACGATAATAATAAAAAAAATAATAATAATAATAACGATAATAATAAAAACAATAATAATAATAATAATAATATTAATAATAATATTAATGATAATAATTAAAAATAATAATAACAATAATAATATTAATATTGGTATAAATAATAATAATAATAATAATAATATTGGTAATTATAGAGGGGATTTTTGAAGAGAAAAATATAGTAGAAAAAAATGAATTTTGAAAGTTGAAAAAAATATATCAATATGGGTGTCTATTTATAGAGGGGAAAAAAATAGAGTCGTTGGTAATTTTTTTTTTTTTTATTTGTATTTTGTAAAATATATCCGTTGCAAAATTACAACGGATATATTTAAAACAGTGCACACGTGTCAAGCAGCGGCTGGGCCAAGTGGCGCGCTCCCAGCCGCTGATTTCTATTTTTTTTTTTTTTGAGCTTCAACAGCAAGCTATAATACCAGTCCAAAATATTGGTGGGGCCCACAGCGAATTAATTCATGGAAATGCTTGCTCCTGCAATCGAACCCATGACCACTCAACATGAACCATTAAAGGTTTGCCATTAAGCCACCACTTTATTTGTTTATTCATTGTGAACAATTAAATAGTTCACCCTTAAAGATGCCCTAACATTCTGTTAAGACAAGTTCTTGTTTTGTAAAGAAATTGCATCATAATGAACATTGGGAAAGAACCTATCATCTAAAATAAGATGTTCTGTAACATTCATTACCGCCTACCAAACAGTCCATAAATGTTATTTTTAGATTTTATCATTGTAATGGTGATGTGTGGTTGACATGTTTGGACCAGAGTTTTCGTGGGGACATGGAATGTCGGCGGAAAATCACCAGTAGGAAGCCTAGCTGCAGATTTGGATGAATGGCTAAATTTAAAGAACTCAGTGGACATCTACGTTCTTGGGTAGGTAACATTTTGAAGCATATTGCATATCATGATCCAAATAGAAGCCTTGAATGAACTGAACTTGTTTCTACAGGTTTCAAGAGGTTGTCCCTCTTAAAACAATGACAGTAATTGGACTGGAAGATTATACAGACGCGAGAAAATGGAACCTGTTGATAGGAAAAACTCTCAACAACAAAGTTGGGTGTGTTTGGTTGACACCTACGATGAATTCTCCAATAATTAGTGATGACTACGAGTATGCCAAACCTTCGAATTCTAGAGGACAATCAAGATTTAGAAGGAGCACAACTCCGCAGAGAGAAAGAATGAAAACTCTACATGGTGGGGAGCAGGGAGGAAATCCTGCATATAAACTGATGGCCAGCAAGAAGATGGTGGGAATCTTCATAAGTGTATGGATGAAAAGGGATATTATAAGGAAGTACCGAGTTTCAAATGTGAAGGCGTTTCCAGTTGCTTGTGGTATAATGGGTTGCCTGGGAAACAAAGGTGCTGTCTCAGTCAGCATGTCAATAGATGGAACTAGTTTTTGCTTCATTACTGCTCATTTGGCTTCTGGCCAGAAGAAAGGGGATGAATTGCGAAGAAATCAACAGGTAGGGGAGATCTTTAAGCGAACAGCCTTCCCTCGTCTTCCTCAAGAGTTTGATGATCCTCTTCCTCCCACCATATCCGGACACGAGTAAGCATTTTATACCTCATGGTCCTCACCACCAGCCATCCCCCCCCCCCCCACCCCCACCCCCCACGCACACACCCCAACAAGTATCCCATCATTATTTCTTGGTGACAGAAGCACAATTTCATGAAGTTTGTGTTTGAATTGGTAGAAAACCTGCCATACAAGAAAACTTGATATATCACCAACAAGAATCGATCACAGGCCCCATGATATTGATAACATGGCTAAGGTCTTTCAATATGGTTTCTCAGAGACAGTAGTCACAACACTATAGAACAACACCAATTTCATATAATTGTATGCATGCTTAATTTAGTTTGATGGTAATTAAAGTTCTGGAGTAATAGCACCTGCCTGAATTCAGTATCTCGAGTTATTCTGACTAACCTAGCAGCCGGTGCTGAAAAAAACAAGAAAATAGGAAGATTTCACAGATATTTATGCCAACATGAATCCTGGATGGAATTTTGGCATGAACAGGATATACAGGCCCTACAAGAAGGACAAGATGATCACAGCCTTAGCTGAATGCATCAAGACTTAAGACTAACGAAAAGACAATTTCTAATAGAGCAGTATTTGTACTTTAGAATAGTACCACAAGGAAAAAATCATGACTTATGAGTTAGTTATATACTGTATTATTTTTGTCATTTCTGCTATAATCATACTGTGTAAGTTGTGAAACAGCCGAATATTTTGGTTTGGGGACCTGAACTACCGACTATGCATGGACGATGACAAGGCCAGGGAGTTAATAAGAAAGAAGAAGTGGAAAGAACTGCAGAAGTTTGACCAGCTTAAGAAGGAACAGCAACGAGGAGTATTCCAAGGATGGAAAGAAGGAGATATTGAGTTTGCACCAACATACAAGTACTCTGTAGAGCTTGGCAATCGATACACAGGAGATAAGCATGCCCCCTTCAATCCAAATACAGGAGAAAAGAGAAGAACCCCAGCATGGTATAGTCATAGTTCAGTAAAACTTATTAATTGATGTTTAGTGCTTATCAGTATGAATGATACAGTATGATTATTATGTCATGGAATACTGCATGTAGCAATGGACTTTATCTAACGCTTGCAAGTTATGACTTATGAGTAATCTTATAGAGACTCTATAGACCTCAGAAGCTTTAGATAAATCTACACTAAGACCTCAATAAATTTGAAAATGGAACTAAGGAGAATTGATGTGATTTCAGGTGTGACAGGATTATGTGGTTCGGGAAAGGGATACAACAACTTAATTATGTTCGTGGAGAAAGTAAATTCTCTGACCATAGGCCGGTCTCTGCCCTTTTTACCATAGAAGTAGATGTCCTGGGACCTGCTAATTCAAAGACGGTTGCACTAAGCAAGTTTCTTACTTCAATGAATCTCTCTAGATTTGATACACCTCAAGTAAGTTTCCTAAAGTGAAATATATTTTCATTACCTGATGTAGCAATTAAAAGGCTGTGCAGGGGAGTTACTCTTGAAGGTTTTTTGTCTAAGGGTCAATCTATGAAATCACTAATCATCTTTACTGATGTTTGACCAGATTCAATCAGTTTATAAATTATAAATAATAAATTATAACCTCACTAATGCTAAATTTATTCTATTATTACAGGGCCAATCCACCACCCCTAAACGTACGTTATTATCACTGATCAAGGCAGAAACAGAAGAATCAGCACGTGAGACAGTAGATAATACTCAAAATAGATCATAGTATTAAGCTGGTGTTTCACATGGCACATTGCTACAGCTTACCAGGGTTCTATAGGTGAAAATAACTACCACACATCCCTCTTCCATATCAATATTCATGTTTATAGCCCCATACAATTTTTATTCTTTCATCTTCTCTTCTTAAGCACCAAATAGGTGATAGAAGTGGAGAGGGGATGCTTGGACATCAGTTGTAATTTTTCTCCGCTTTTCCCCTCTTTTCTTTTAGCAGAAGATAAAAACACAAAGTACACAAAACAATGTGACAAAAGCCATTCATGCAAAACTGAGGGGAAAAGGCACCAGAGTTTTGTGTATACATTGATCATTTACACAAAAGTGCTTGCAAAAAATAGAAGGATACAAATTGAAGTAACAAACAGGCTGCTCTACAGTGTACATATGCAACTTTTCTCACTTCTTTACAACATCGTATCTTACTTGTATATCCAACTGATGGGTAATTAAATGGTTTTCACATATAATGTATCTCAAAATCTGTGACTTAGACTATTATGGAATGAGATACGTTAATCAATTATCAACATGAATAAAGGGCAAAACCATATGCAATGCTTACAGGAAATCAACTTAGCTCCATTGCCTGAAGTAGTTCTTCCAAGGCTTCTGAATTATCAAGATGACAAGTAGGACAAATACACTTCCTTTGCAACTCCTCACTGAAGAGAGCACATTTCTCCTCCACATTAGAAGTCTGCTTGTATCCAGTCAAAGACAACATGACATGTATAGTTATTTTAAGCAAGAATTTATACAGATACACTAGTAATAACAGGAATTTATCCTTTTTGGACCTTTGCTAAAAAAAATAGAGAAATTTATAAGATTATCAAGAAATTAACTTCTCAACAAATATCTTAGTGTAAGTGATTTTTTTTTTATAGTCTATGTCAACAAGTGGTTTATTCCGCATAGCAATAGCCAATAAGATATAGGATAACTACTAAAACCAATGCATGCAAAGGTTGTATGCATTTCTAATGATGTATGCCATTCTGAAATATAGAAAAGTTGGCAATGCATCCTAAAATTTATGTACCAATAGCTAGCAATGAATTCCAGTGCAGATGTTATGGGAAGAAAATTAGCAGATCCTTTTAAACTTAACAAATGACAATGTCCTTTTTGTTGTTTTTCATATGACTGCTGTAATAAAAACACGTATATAAACAGTCAATAAGGATATTTTGTTAAGTTCTGTAACTCCTTGATGTCCTTCATAATTGTCCCAATCAGCTCCAGTCTCTTTCTTAAGTCAACAACATCTTGCTGCAGCTGCAGAGTTCCAGAAGCACACTATCAATCAGTCACAGAAACTTCCCAATAATATATAATCTACAACTGACAAACATTGTGGTTTAGCTTGGAGAAGTTCCACTTTAAGAAATCCTAATAATAGTAAATGACAAGTTTGCAATGAGATTTAACTTCTAGCAGACATCTCCAATATATGAGATGTACCTGCTTATGTAGATTCTGTTCCCTTTCACGTTCTTCTTTTTCTGTTGCAGTCTGAGCAACTGTGAAAGAGACCTTCTTCTCAAGATCAATCAATTCTGCATCTCCACTGTCTGCATGATCACATTCAGTAAATGCAAAGTATTTTACCTCGCTGGGCAGGGTCGAGTCAAATAAACCGCAATGCATACAAGTAAATTCAAGTACATTTTGTTCCCTTGTCGTTTTAGCTAACCAACATGAATGGAAATACAAGAGCACATTTCAGTTAATATAGCCGTGTAGGCATACAGGAAATGGACTTCATTGAGGACTGATTCAAGGTATACTTCTCAGATGCATCATTTAATTTGAAAAGTCACACAAGGAGTCTCTATCAAGAATTCTAGTCAGTTGATTCACAAACAAATCATTCAAGCATAATGCTGTGACATGATCCCATGACAGCATAGTATATTTTTTCTTATTCATGTATTTAGGCCTAATCAAAATCTAACTGATGAAGATATAGCAGCAAATCCTTAACGAGGAATTTTTAAGAAAAAACATAAAACATAAGTAGAAGTAGTCAATCAATTTAATGAATTAAATGAAAAACAAAGGTTATTAATCTCGGGACCATTTCAATGAAAGGCCAAGCCAAAAAAAAAAAAAAGGAGCCAATTTGACTTCATAGCCCAATTTTCATGAAGTCCATTTAGGGTGGTGGTGATGTTGACCTGGTGTTACTTCTTTTCCCAAATACATATTGCAAGCCAACTTTGGTCATAAGATTTGAGAAGACTAAGTGCGTGCAATTTCATGGTACTCAATGCTATTAGCTTGCAAGGCATTTGGCCCAATGTTGGCAAGGCCGGGCACAACTAATTTTTTGACATAGAGAAGACTACATAAATCAGTTACCCACAAAGGACCCAAAAATGAGTCATTTTGCCAAAGCTGACATACCAGCCTTGAGGCACATGACCCTGAATCTTGATGAGATAGAAGTTTAAATGTTGCTCCAAGTAATATTTATCACGGTAATATCATGCAACAAGTGGTTAGGCTGGGAAAAGGTCTTCAGAATGTAAATAGCTTCTGGATCCTTTTTCCAATAAGATTTAGCAACCAATTATATGAGTTTTGATTACTTGATCACATTTCACGTTTGGCATCTCCTCATTTTGCGGAAAAACTAAAAAATACATTTGAGTTAATAGCTCCTATGTCCATTCTACATGCCATAATTAAAATCTGCTCGTAGAGCGCATGATCAAAACTCATGACACGATTTTCTTGTATGGAAGCCATAGAACATCAACCTAATGCCTCTATATATGCTCCTAACCAGGACAGGATAGACCAACTACCTGACAAGAAGCTCAAGCAACTAACTAGTCCAACAAAATCAAAGCAACATTTTAGTCGCTAGAGAACAATCAATACCAATTGCAAGCACCAGACTCGGAGAGTAATTTTGATATGCTAGAGCCAATATACTGTCATGTACATAGGATTTGAAGTCTGATCCATGAGCTTCATCATCAGTATAGGTCATAGGACATCGAAAAATGAAATTTACGATTACCTGATGAAGTTCTCAGGCAACTAGTTGGCTGCTGATTGGGACGGGAAAACTCCTGAAATTTTCTGCAGTAGGTATATCACATCGTCATATGCATATTACAAATCCGACAACCTCGAATAAGAACACTCGTCATATAACAAAATTGCGGTTAGCTAATTATCAATCTCTTCTGCTTACTTATTTTTAGTATGAATATTTAGTGATTTGCACTAATATAAGACTTGTATATTCAGGACAAACCTTATCTCAGTCTTGAAGTTGAGCATTTGGCCGATAAATTCATCTCTACACAAACAATAGCAAGTTCATAAAATAATTAATTATCAGAAGAAAACCTAATTCCAAAATATAGCGAATTTATCATTCATTTACGAAAGAATTTGAACAAAAAAATTGATCAAAAACATTGATAAAGGTTAATAATACCTAAGAGCTGCTTCTTCATTCTTCGCAACGATATCCAAACCGAAGTTCACATACAATCAACACCATCAAAATCAGAAAATTGGCGGAAATTTCAAATTTAATCCAAAAAATCGTCAATAAATTACCTTAAGAACGTCAACATCAGATCCTACTTTCGAAATTTCATCTTGAATCGAAGCAATTCTTGCCTAAAATATCAAATAAACACATAACGAGAATCAAAGTCTCAAAATCAAATGAAAATATCTGAGAAATAGTAATAATTTCAAAAATACTGATAATCAAGAGATAGAATATACCTCTAGGGTTTGCTTTGAAGCTTCGTTCATCGAAAATTCGACCTCAAAACCTTTGAGCTCTTGATCGGTTGTTTCCTTGAATCTCTTTCCATTTTCAAGCTCTGAATTTGCTGAATTCAGCTCTGATTCAAGCTCCTCGATACGCTTCTTCAAGCTGAAGACTCTTCTCTCTGCGAAACAAATTGAATCGAGTTTTTGGAAGGAAAATTGGTCAAATTAAGAACAATCAGAGGGAACAGAGAGAGAAATAAACCTCCATGAGATTTTTCAGCAGCAAAATCGCGAATCAAAGTAAGCAGTTGTTTCCGAGAATCAGTTGCCGCCATTGTTGCGAGCTTGCTTCTTTGCTTCCACTGGATTTGTGTTTGGCGCTTCTTTTATCGTTTTGAATGCTTTTTTTTAGGAAACGTTTTGAATGCTATTTATATCCTTTTTAAATGTTTGAATTAAGCTAGAACCAAGGATCTTTTCCCCTTGACTACGGGTGATGTTATATGTAGCCCTAAGGGTTATGTATGAGCATTAAATATACTATTGGAAGTTGTATAAAATTAGGAATTCATGACAAAAATACGCGTAAATCAGTGTTATTAGTGTTTATATTTTGATGATTTATTAACTTTTTACGATTTTCAAGTGTAAATTTAATGCTTATATGTAACCCTAAGGGCTATGTATAACATTTTCCATATTTTTTATAACTAATATGTCAATAAGTGCTTACAAAATTCACCAAAATGTCATCAAATGTCTATAAGTACTTACAAAATTCACCAAAATGTCATCAAAGTTTTTCAAAATTCACCAAATGCCACTGACATACAATACAATGTCACCTCGTGCCACTAATAGCATATGGACGTTAGTTTTCCATTAATGCAATTCTTATTTCACCAAATGTCAATGCTTTTGAAAATTATTTCAACAAATGCCAATACTTTTTATAACTAATACACAATTATTTATTTTAATGAATAAAAATAATTTTTTTCGATTCTCATGACAAATATTATTCGGGTAAGGTTTTGGGGTTCATTTTTGACCCTTTATGGGTACAAAATTGGCTAAAAAAACGTAAATACCCCGTTTTGCATTTTTTCGAAAAAAAAATTACCACATCGACATACAAAACGGAGCATTTGCGCTATTTTTTGTCAATTCTAAGCTTAATTTGTATCCATAAAGGGTCAAAATGACCCCCAAGACCTTACCCGATCAATTTTGATGGTTAAAAAATAACGACACGCTAATCCAAATATTTTTCAACACACAAAACGGAGCATTTACATTATTTTTTTGTCAATTCCGAACTTAATTTGTGTCCATAAAGGGGCAAAATGACCCCCAAAACTATTCCCGAGTAATTTTTGCCACGAAAATGAAGAAAAAAAATATTGTTTTTATTACTACCTTCGTTTCACATTTTTTGCAACTTTGAAGGGTACACGGACTCCTAGACAAAATTTATTTGTGAGTGTAAGATAGAAAGAGAAAAATAAGAATGCATGTGATGAGGAGAGAGAAAGAGAGAAATGACAACATAAAAAGGAAAGAAAACATTAGTTGCAAATAATGTGTAGCATCCATTTTTGGCAAAAGTTACAAAAAATATGAAACGGAGGAAGTAATTAAAATAAATGATTAAAATGAACCAATCATATTATGACACATGTCAAGATTTAATCTTAATGACTAACGGAGTTAACGACCGTTAGTCATTGATGGTTTTTGGTGAATTTTTTAAAAGTTTAATGGCATTTGGTGAATTTTGAAAACCTTGATGGCATTTGGTGAATTTTTTAAGTACTAAGTGGCATTTGGTGAAATAGCCGTTTTTTTTAAAGGGGTGTTAAATACCGCCATTCAAAATGATCAAAACTGCCAATATTTAGTGTAAATGGACAACCATGCCCTTAGTAGTTCACTTCTATCTTTCCTCTTGCCACCAATCACTAACATATTGACACTACCACACTGATCAGCGGCAATCACCGCCGCCGCCACCCTGACCGACAACCATGCCCTTAGTAGTTCACTTCTATCTTTCTCCTTTTTTTTTTTTTTTTTTATTTCAGGCAACCGCGGTAACCAGAGTCCAAAAATCAATTATCGTGTGTGGTAACCGGAGCCCAAAACCGGTTACCGAGCATAGTAACCGGTTTTGGGCTCCGATTACCATATAATCGGTTAAGGTGCACGGTAATCGGAGCCCAAAATCGGTTGTCGTGCGTGGTAATCGGAGCCCAAAACTGGTTACAATCCACGGTTGCCTGAAATTAAAAAAAAATTATAACAAATTAAAATATAAAAAAAAAACCACCACCTTTCTGTCGGCCAAGGAAGGTGGTGGGCTATCATAGAGGGGGGTGTGGTGGGTCGTTGGTCAAAAGGGGTTGTGAGTCGCCGATTGGAAGGGGAGATGCCCCCAAATTTTGCTACCCTTGCTAATGACCTTTAACTTTCTTTTTTGTTTTTTGGCTGCCAAAAAAAAAAGAATAATAATATAATTTAGCACAAGCCATTTGATTGACTTGAGGACATACGCCACAAGGCCACAGGGGTGTTCATGTGTGAAAAAACCTAGGACTCTAGGAGTCTCTCCTTTTCTAGATGGTCTCCAATAGAAGCAAAAGACAGTAGGTCAAGGGAATGTTATAATCAGGGGCATATTTTCCAATTTGGAAGAAGAGGTTAGGGTCCTATTTATAGAGAAATCTACACATTGAATTTATCATTGGGGTCATAATTTTTGTTGTTTATCCGTTCGTTTTTTTTAATGCATCATTTTTATTTTCAGGGGAGGGGGAGAAATAATTAACACACAATCAAACTTAATTAGTAAACATGCCAATGTATGTTATAATCTAATCTTAATTATATTCCCTCCGTTTCATAATAATCGCAATACTTTTGTTATTCATCTGTTTTATAATAATTACAAACTTTCCTTTTCCATTTGTTTTGTAATTTTTGCATCACTTCTTTATAATCGCTACAGAGGGCAATACCATTTCCATTCTCTTATTGATGGGCTTAGCTCACCAATAGAGGGCAATAATGCATGTCATTTTGGAATTTGCTAAGTGTAGTACACAGTAACTAACTGTAGTTAACAAGCGTTATAGGGCAACAAACGGCTATTCTACTTGGCGTAAATTTGGCGTCCAAAATCCAATCTAATAGAGCTAATTCAAGTTGTGGTGAGCTGTCAAAAAACTTGAACTAAGGGGCACGCATTTGCATGTTATTTACAATTCATGCCATCAGATAAACGAATTTCGCAAATCTGGGGCATGAACTAGTATTTACCGCTTCTTTATTTGATAATAAGCCACAATAATTTTATTATTTCTCTCTCCTATCTACCCCACTTACTCTACTTTTTTTTTAACCCCCTCATATTATTTTTATCTACAATATCGGAATATTTTTGTCTCACAAATAATACACCAATGTTGTGCAGATAAAAATAATTAGAGGTAGTATTATTAGTATTTCTTCTCTTACAAACAATTAAATATATCTGCAGAAATTTAACTATACATTATACTACTATTACTGCTATAAAATTCATTCTTTGGTACCCACCCTAAAATCTTCCTAAAACTTTGTGTCCTCCTTACTATTGCTATTATTACAAAACGGAGGGAGCACATAATTAAATATTAGTTAAAAAAATATACGGAGTAAAAAAAATCATATTATTAAAATTAATATTACTAATTGTATTTAATAACATATTTTATGATATAGATGTTTTTAATTTGTAATAAAAGCATTTGGCAAAGTTAATTTGTAAATAGTAAAGAAAGTTCAAATGTGTCAATTATTGTGGAATGGATTTACATATTATATTTTATTGTTTCCCTTTCCTCACATGGTCCTCACTTCTATTGTTTTTATTATATTAGTGTTTATGAATAGTGTTATGTCAACTATATCTCTTAAAATGTCTATTTACATATGTACCCTAATTTAAGTATGTGAATCATGTGTTTGCCATTTTTTTTTAACCACATGTAGCTTAGTTTTTTTTTTTTTTTCCTTCCCTACCTTTGAAAAGTTTGGAATAACTCTTATAAATTGTTTTATTAGACAATTATACCCTTTTAATTGTTTCTTTAGTGTCTTCAAAAAAAAATTGTTTCTTTAGTTATTTGCTCTTAGTTGACACTTTAATTTATTGAACTCTAAATAATCGTGCAAACATTAATACTATCCCTAAAAAAAATTATTTACACCCTTATTAATATTACCAAATACTAATATTGTGACATACGGAGTAAAACCAAATTAAAAGAGAATCCCGAACATGGCTAGCTATGCGCGTGCGATGTGAGTCACCCTAGTAAAATCAAAAGACTTTCTAGATTAATAATCATAACTTAATACTAAAACAGACACAGGGAGTGACACGTGTCACATCCTGGTGTTATTTTTTCTCCAAAACTCCCCTTTTCTTTTTGAACTTTTTTTTTTGTTAATATTTGATTGTATAATAATATCATTATTATCTTTATGACAAATATATATTCCTTCTCATTTGGTGTCCATAATTATTCTATATACATTTACCTAAATAACTCTCTAAACTTCTTTTTTTTTTTAAAAAAAAAAAATCATTTCAACTCCTTTTTAACTATCTTTTAAATGGGGTATTATTAGATTTTGCCAAAAAAAAAAGTTATAATAAATTGATTCATATAATAAATGTTCAAGAAATTACTTTAAAATATCACTTAATTTTATTTTTTTTCAAATACCTTTAGCTAATAATTTATTTCAATTTCACTCTAGCTAATATCACTTAATTATATCACTTATTATTATTATTATTATTATTATTATTATTATTATTATTATTATTATTATTATTATTATTATTATTATTATTATTATTATTATTATTAAGTGCATATACCATTAATTTAGGTGAGTGAAAACATAAATAAATGTGTACCATATTTATCATATGTTAATAGTAGAAAGATAAAAGACAACGGTTTACTTATATTTATTTCACAAAACTTATAAAATAAAATGATCTAATGAGTAATAATGATTTTACTTATAAATATGTCTTAATCATATATTTTATACCCTCAAAATAATAATGATATACAAAGTAATACTTGAAAAAAACCTCTCTTTTTTAATTCTTAAATTGTATGGAAGATTTGAAAAATAATTCAACTCAATGAACTAACAATCAATACCCACATAAAATGTTTCTACACATTGTGATTATAATATCACATGTTTATAAAAATAAATTGTTATTATTATTATTTATTTTTTTGCAAGAATTGTTATAATTATTAGAAATCATTTATTAATAATATTATTAAATATTAATTCTTAATAGTTTGAATTATTACATATTATTATTGTTAATTATTATTATTAATTATTATTATGATTAATAAATATTAATTATTATTAATATTAATAATTATTAAAATTATTTTTAAT